TAGACCATTGGAAGCTTTAGTGACTCCTAATTACTGAACTTCAGTGCCCAGGGCCAGTGGCTTCTTGTTGCGGCCTTGATCCAGACCCAGGCCATCGGAAACACTGGAAGATATTAGTTTCATCCGTCAGGTTCCCCCAAGAGTTTAGGGACTACTCAGGTTTGATAAGTGTGTTGTATTGTCTTAATATCAAACCTTACCAACCCCTTGTTGGAGTAAATCACCACAACAACGCAGTTCTACTATCTTAAAATTATCCTTCAGATTAGATGTTATTATTTCAGTTTTAATCAATTATATATCTTACCTTTACTATATGAAATTTACCATTCAGGTTGGGTATTGTTAGGTACTTCAATTTTATTAGGTATCTAGGTATTTATCCTACCTATATTGTTACATAATATTAAAGCCCTTCAGGTTACGTATTGTTACTTCAACTTTGATTAATGCTACTATTTTAAGAACACATGGTTTGGTACTCCGAGACGATTTCTTTTCTTGTTCTGGTTCCAGTGTGAATAATTTTCAGTGTTCTAGGGCGTTCGGAAAACCCACTTCGAACCTGCTCTAGAGTCAACCTGTTCTGGTTTACATTTCTGGATCTAATTAAAACCCGTACCTGATTGTAGCAAAGCGTTTCACTTTTGTCCTCCCTTCTTGTTTACGTTTATATTTCAGGTTGTGCTGCTATAGGTCCGTAGAAGTTTCCTGCTTTCGTTATATCGGTTGATTTCGTGTACTGCAGGGAAAAAGCAGGTGGCGCTCTATATTTAGTTATTTAATTAACCCACCCCCTCTCCGCATTGGAAGCTAGTCGGCATCCCTTTACACGAAATCACGTTTCTAGATTTCAGCCACCAACCAACTCTCTCTTCTCTCTTTATTTCTCTGTTTTAGTTACCCATTAACTTTCCCACCTCCTCAAAATCTTATCATTAACTTCTCCCTTACGTTTTGCGGGTAACAAAGTGGCAGTGTCCGTTTAAGACCAAAGCCAAGAAAATGTAAAGATTCCTTTATTATTACATATAATAGGTGGAAGTGGTCTAGATATTTATAACACGTTTCAATCATACAAGTCAAAAACATTAGAATATGTCATACGAAATCCTGGACTAGATGCACGCAAAGAAGACCAACCACGCCACCACGTCAGAGACGTTCTGCACCAAAGTTCTAAGTGCATACACCCCCGTCGCCAGCCTCCCATAAACAGAGTCCACCTGTGAGCTCCACATGAGTCCCGAGTCTATCCCTATCCCTATATTTTATTTACAGCCACTCTAAATACTATCAATAATTAAATATTATGAATATTTGAATCATCAAGAATATTTTCAATTATTCTGGATCACTGAAATCGCTAGAATAGCTAGAATCGCTAGAGCCTTCATCAACATTGATAATAAGTGGAAGAACCTCTTGCCTGTCCATTACTTGTTCCCTGTTTTACCACTCGTCAATTATTCCTTCTGTATGTCTTACAGAATTTTTTCACATTTCAGGGGTAACAGTTTCCAGTGCCTCTCGCCCAATCTCGTCACATTTTTAAACAAGCATCTTGAATATAATCATCTCTGCCAATATGTCGGTTATAATAGTTTTTTGCAATTCCTCAAATAAGTTCAATCGGGTTAAAAGTACAGTGGTATGGAGGTAGTCGTAAAACTTTATGTCCATACTGTTCAGCCAAGTCATCACCACATACTTTTTTGTTGGTTTATTCCTGAATAAGCAATTCTTGAGAAGTTGAGCATAAAATGCATATAATTTCGGTATTGTAGGCACCGTGCAACAATGGTCACAAGTTCAGATTTCAATGCTGTATTTGGATACTCAACTTTCTGTTCGGTTAACCAATTTTGAATTTCAGCCTTGGTAGACGAACTATTGGGGTGTCTTCGTTAATAACATGCTGTGGTAAGGAGCATTGTCTATAACAATAACAGATGGTTCACTCAAGTTCTTCAACAGCTGATTTTTGAACCAACGTAAAAAGTTTTGCTGATTCATTTCCCCATGATAGTCGTTAAGTTGAGTTATCGATGAAAATACGAGCGATGCACCTTCAATGAATCCATTTTCATTGCCAGCATGAAGTATGATATATCTGAAAAAAGCATTTCATTTGTCATATAATACAACTGCTCTCTGTTTTCATGTTTATATTCACCTTTCCTTTTACCTTCAACTTTGGTAGTTTCAACACTTCGCTTGTTGTTTTGCCACTAGCGGTTAATAGTACCATTTTGAAAAATCCAAGTCTCGTCCAAGAAAACAAACTGGTACAAAGCCTCCTGTTTCAGTCTTAGATAAGACCTCAAAAATGATATGCGTTTAACTGCAATATCAGGAAGTTCCATGAGCCCTCGTCTTGGGTCATCTTTTTTCCCTTTGAAGCCTATTTCTTTTAACATTCTACTCAATGACATGCGACTGCCATCAAATAATTGTTCGGCTTTCAATTGCTCCCATATACAAGATAATGTTACATGTTGTCCTACAAGAAGAAAGAAGTCGATTCATAGATATCTATGTACCTTTGTCTCAAACGATTTACTTTTTTTATACATATCGTAAATAATGTTACGTATAGCACTGCTACCGAGCTTTGAAACATCACAGTATCTCTTCGAAGTGCATCGCTTCTTAGAAGGCGATTCTAAAACTTCGTTATTTTTGACTGCCTTTGAAAAAGCTCAGACAGTCGACATAATTAAGTTCAAAGCCTCTGCTACGCGCTAAAAATGAGAGAAAAAATAAGTTCAAATTGAAAATTCCTATTTGGTCACACGACATACCTCAACAACTTGTAAACTCACCTTCCTAACAGCATTTAAGGGACATAAAGGGCCATCATTATCGCGTTCCCGTTTGAAATATTGTAACAAGGATGCAATTAGTTCTTTGCAACGGCTGTTAAGCTGCTTCGGCATCTTGTACATTTCGCACTACAAGCTGCTTTTGAAAAACTAGCTCACAATTAATAGCAGTTGAACCAAAAACTCGTAAACTCTCAAAACGCAATCAAAATTAAAAATGTCAAGAATTTAATTTGGCAACATTACATTTTTTGAAGTGGTGTTATCGAATGTAATACTACAAGAGGTTTCAGGATTACCGGATAATACTTTTACCTGTCACGAAACGCGTTACGCAGCAACACCACGACTCCGAAGGAGGAGTGGTGTTGCTGGTAACGCGTTGAGTGTCAGGTAAAAGTATTAGGTAATCCTGAAACATCGAGTGGTATTCGAAAGGTTATACAACGAACTAAACTTTAATACTTTAAAATTTTAAAAAAATGTCTATAATAGAATTTGCCATAAATGCCACCAAGCGCGATAATCCCACAAGGCTTATCACTTGTTAAGCCTCTCTTGTCATATGGGAATAATGTACAGTGAGTTGTATAACTAACTGAATAGCCAGCGGGAAATTCAAATTCCAATTAAGTCAATCCGACGCCGAATATTTTCACGGTTGGCGATAACGATTTTAAAAATGGCGTCATCGATGTCAGAACTACAAGTTTATTTGGTATGAACTATATTTAGCTCAAGTTAGTTTGGGTTTAGAAACCAAAAATCAACAACAAATGCAATAAAATCTTCACATTTTTTATTTTTAAGCTGCTTTATTATATCCCTAACTTCATTTATACCGAGCTCGAGAAACTGAAATTTTTGATTTGGTAGTCATATCTTGGAGGTGAAATTAATAACATAGTTCTCAGGAGAGGTATCGCTGTTTGGCAGGTCACGAATGATTTCAGAGGCTATACTAGAAAAATAATTATTAAAATCATCTGGGGAGAAACAGTTTTCTACTTTTTGATTATTTTGTTTAGAAATATTCGAGTTTTCTCTAACTACATCCCAGACCGCTGTTGAAACAATGGTTTTGTAAGTAAGCATTGTTTGCATTCACCTTGGCTTTTTTCAGAGCGATCCGGTAGGATTTTTTCCTTTCTAGTTCAATCAGGTCAGGCCGGTTTGTCTGCTTAGCAGCCCCTGAAATAATACGCAATAGATCTCTTTGTTCATATAATTGATTATTGAACCATTTTATATTTGGACCTTTGTTATGTTGTCTCACCTCCATCTCAGGAAATGCCAAATCGATGTTGTTTTTCAGAAACCTAGTAAATAATGTGAATTTATCTACCGTCCTCATAGAGTCAGAAACAATAAAGTCCCAATTTATGGCACTAACAAGCTCATGGAGTCGGAACATACCCTGCTGTATGATGGGTCGTGAAGTGTGCACTGTTGTACCCTTATCCACATCTATACCACAAGGTATCTCCGCCACCACAGCCAAATGATCAGAAATATTGAGGTCGAAAGTGTAGGCCTTAGAACCAGGATAATTTGGAAAAATGTTATCCAGGCACGATGGGCCTCGCGTTGGAGAGTCTATCATTATTTCAAGACCATAAGAATTTATTAGGTCTGTCAACTGTTGTGTTTTCTCATCAGCCCTACGATCATTTAGGAGCAATTTACATTTTGATGATTTTACAGTTTGTAAAACTTCTTCAAAGATACTTATAAATGCGTTAAAATCCCCTGAGGGGGGTCTGTAATAGGTAATGACTATAAGCTTTAATTCAGTAGATTGAATCGCACATATTTCACAATGTATTTCAGAAGTTAGTTTTGTAATATCATCTCTATGTAGCCCTAAATTTATGTGATAAGCTTTGTTTTACAAGAATTGCCACACTTCCGTGAGCATGCTCCCTTCGACAAAAGAAGGAAAGAAAATTATAGTGAGGAATCTTTAGGATAGCGGCTTCATGAAGTTTTAACCAGTGTTCACTGAAACATATTATGTCATACTCATAATTAATAGATTCAATTTCCAAAATTTTGTTTTTTAGACACTGTATATTGAGATGCATTATAGTTAGATTTGATACTATGTTTACACCCTTTTTACATTTTAATGGCACTTTGTTAAAGTCCCATCTAAAAAATCACCACCTGCTGTGTTCAAAAAAGCCCTGTGCTTCTCAAAATCAAACCGTTTGGGTCGTACATGGTGTCCTTTTTCTGTAGTGGTGCTGTCACTACAAAACACTTCAATTTGTTTTGATCTGTGGGGAGTTCTCTGACAGTAATTAGGAGATTTTCAAAACCATCTTTGGTTTTAATGTAACGAAGTATTGCATTTTCATCACATTCCCTTTTTACTCTATATAGATAAAGCCATACTTTTCGGTCTCCGCCAACAAAGTTGCTGTTTGTGAGTGGTTGTGCATTCCCAAGTCGTTTTTTGTATCTTCTCCTGGGATAAATAAAATCATTTTCCGATTTATCGGTATTTGGCTCGTGTTCAGAACCGGTCGATCCGGAAAGACCATTATTTTCTTCCATTAATTGCTTGTATCGGGGGCTCATTTTCTTATGTTGTTGTTGTGGATTATTTATAGCGATGTTATTGTCACTGTCAGCTGTTCGAGCCCTTGGAGAGTGTTCCGCACCATGACGGTAATGCGGCGCGATGTTTAGATATAGCTAGCTGGCAGAGTTTGGAAAGGGAAACCACAGAACTAAGAGAGGACTATTCGGAAATTTTTTGACTGTGGTTTTTGTAGTGAATGACGAAGTATGTCAAGATATCGAGGCAATGAAAAACAATCAGGAAGAACTCATCAGAGCATCGAACTACCAAACAAAGTACATGATCTCGGCCCTCACAAAATTCAACGAAACAGAAGCCAGAATCACGAACAAACTACATTTCCAGAAACGACTCAACGAAGGAATAGAAGCTACCAACAGCATGCAGAGTTGGTACAAGCAAATAGACACTAATGTCCTTAACATTCACCTATTGAGTGCATACCAAGTAGCTACCAACTTCATCAGCGAAACCAATGAGCACTATGATAAATTGCTGAACATCAACTTCAACAGGGGTACGATATTTGACCAAGTTTCACCAACATATATCAACGCCGTCATTCAAAAATCCAATCGAAAGCTCCCAAACAATCTAAAGATTCTTTCGGCAGCAGTGTCCACAAGATTAATCACCAACAACACGGACCTCAAGGTGTGTGGATATTTTCCAATAGTTGACGTGACGGAATTCACCCTATTGAAGACAACACCGATTCCACTCAGAATTGAAAAATACTGTGCGTTGGACCTTCACGATGATTATACCGCCGTTGACTACAACAGTCAAACATACTTTCAGCTCCATGAAAGCGACCTCCAACAGTGCATGCAGCACTACCGACATCAGCTCATCTGTTCTCCAGTTTCTGTTAAAAACATTGAATCTTATCCGTCCTGCGTCATCGACGAAATATATGAACGACCGCCACCCAGACATTGCCACATACAACAACACAGGCTAAAAGGCATCCTCTGGAAACGACTATGTACAACGAATAAAACGACTATGTACAACGAATACATGGATTTTCATCGCAGGTTCGTCTACAACAGTAGCCGTTATATGCAACGGCGAGCGAGAAGATGTAGGAATAAATACAACGGGAATAATTCAAATTTCTCAAGACTGCACCATCTAGACAAAACAGAACATTCTAACTCCCATAAGGAGCGCAATCGTTCCAGTGCTAGGCAGCTATGTAAAAACTGTACCCATAATCTTCAATGGTACTCTCCACAAACATCCACCGTCAGATATAGCCACCGAGCCCGTGTTTAGAGAATCCGATAGTTTTGGAGACCTAGTAAGAGAAGAAGAGGACCTCGGTGATCGACATCATAACAAAGTATGGCGCAGTATTCATCACCATTCCGCAACCACTAGCAGCATCACCACCATAGTCATCATTATACTAGTGATTGCAGGATGGCAGACAACAGAACTTATCAACAGAAGACGTCAAAAGCAGACAAAAGACCAACAACAAGACCAAAACGAAGACATAGAGTTAATGTCTCTACATTCTTCCATTCTGGAGAGGCGGCAGAATGTTTAATTAGAACAATAAAACAGTGATTATTGATTAACCTTCGTCGGCGTAATTTGACCGACTTCGTATATTTATATTTTATTCAATATCACGGTCAGCTTGCTATATGAGATTTTAGTTACGATGTAAGATTCGAAATAAATCAGTATTCATCTAGCTTTAAAAGGTGTTTTACTCAAATCGTTTCCTGTGCCCAAGCCTTTTTGGCGCAGATGGCCTCGCAAAGGAAGGGGCCTCAACACCATACCACGGACCAGAGCCCTACTGTGGCTTAATGAAAAGCCACATCATGGAAGAACTCAATAAATGGGAGAAAGACAAACTGTTATTATACTGGAGGCACACACCGGGACTAAGACAGTCTAAAAGGTTTATTACCCTTTCAGCAAAAAGAGCTGAACAGCTCCTAAGCATGAGCAGACCAGACATCAGATTGGTGGTGGGACTGCTCACAGGACACTGCCCAGTAAAATACCATTTAAGGTTAATGGGCAGAGCGGAAGAAGATCTCTGCAGATTCTGCTCAGACGCAATAGAGACCGCAGAGCACCTGTTCTGCGAATGTCCAGCCCAATTCTGCAAGAGGCTCAAATTCCTCGAGGGGGCAACACTGTCACCAGAAGAAGTGGGCCAACTGACACCCAGGAAAATAGCTTCCTTCGGCAGAAGTCTACGCTTCCTGGAGACAATTTGAGATGTAGAGTCATGTACAAAATATCTGCAAAGGTAGCAGTGCTGAGCGGCTGAAAAACCGAAACGACTCCCCTGCAATCTACATTCTATAATCTACAAGCCTTTTTGGCCAACGCAGAGAGTGAGGCTGCTCTTTGATAAAAAACGATACAATCGTCCCGCTGCTCAACCAAGCCGGGTTGGGCAAGCGTAATTTGCGAGCACAGCTTGCACACCGAATTTGTAGAACCTTGATGGGGGCGTACTTGCGCGTGGTAGGCCAAATCAAATTTTTTACTGCAAAGAAGCAACTGAGCAGCGAAACTTTCATGATTCTTTTCGCTGGATCATCCATAGGTTGGAGGCTATACAATCGCAATTGTGCGCCTTATAAATTCTCTAGATTTCAGTAGATAGGCCGGAATTAGCTAGTGACCAGTTCTGTATGCACCGACGCAGTCCATGGTGTATAAGGTGGTCTGGTACTCAGGGTTGGACCATAACATAACAACGTCCTGTTCTGTAGATAGAGTTAATTTATATTCATCAGTTCTTCACGAAGAAGGGTTAACAAATAAAGAAATGCTTTCTTGATCGACTTATCATGTGATTAACTATACGTATGTTCCTAATCGGACGGCCAGGATCAAGAGTGATAGCCAAGCAGCTCTCAAGTCATTAAGGAGCGTAAGCACCACGTTCAAAACAGTGAAACACTGCCAAAAAATTGAAGCTGAAGTGGCAAAACACTACAAGGTGATCCTTGAATCAGAGAAAACCCTAATTGGACCCCTGCCCACATGTGGCATATCATACCAACATGTAAGAAGCAAACTGGAACAGTTATGAAAGAGACACAAAAAACTCTGGAAGGAACTTCTTGGACTCAGGCAGTCCAAACTCTTTATGGAACGACCATCTAAGAGCAGCACAGAAGAACTGCCTAGCTTAAGCAGGAGACAATTCAGAGATGTGGTTGGATTGTTGACACGATACGGCCCTCTCAGGAAACACCTAAACACAATAAAGCTAGCAGAAGACTCGCTGTGCGAAAGATGTGCAGAGGAAGATGAAACAACTCTACATGTTCTATGCTAATGTCCTAACCTTAGATGTCAAGACAGCGGCACTTTGGGACACAGTATCTGAAACCAAAGAAAATAACGAAACTGAATATCAGGGACATCCTAGGTTTTCCTAAGGGAGTGGACCTGATATGAAAACTTCAGCGGGGCACAATGAGCCACGTACTCCAGTGCAGGTGTCCACACACCCCAGGAGAGAATAGAATAGAATAGAACTATATGAGTGGTGTTAACTTGCTAGAGCAAGCAGTAGATATCTTTAGAGATTTCATTCGTAAATAGGAAGCATAGTAGCCACTTTTTGAATTTTTGCTGGAAGTTGGAATGGAAAATGCCTGGCATTTATCGGTTCATATGACTTATTTTACCTTAAATCTTTCGAGATGGTTATTTTTCCAGAAAGGCGCTGACGATGTTGAGGACTATATTTATTGAATACTAACAGCAAACATAAATTTTGAAATAACTTTCCAACACAAAAAACCCATTGGAATGTAGAAAAAAGTAATCTTGGGAGGTAATAATTTGTGAAATATCGGTTCTCAATATCAAAAAACAAATATTTCACTATAAAAACTTATTTCTTGGAGTAGGTACTTAAGAATTTTCAAAAAATATATTTGAAACTAAAATTCAATATTAGTTTATTATTAGATGATGCTATAATGTAAATCCGAATTACCTAATCTTCTTGTGGAGTACGGTGGAAGAGCATAACGCGAAGATGTGACGATACGCTCTCTCGACAGAGGGTTAAGACGCCCTGAGATTGAGATTTGAGCTCAGGTAAAGCATGATCGTGCTAATGCTTTTACTATGCTCGACACCGCAAGGGAAGCGAGAATTAATTCGGTATTATGTCTAATATGCGAAAACACATTTGGCTAATTCCAGAAAGACACGTATCGCCTGCCTTTAATGTGATCCCGGGTTGCGATACAATAGGAAAATTAAAAGATTCTGTCGCGCTTTCGGGTAGGAGGGAAGCCCTAGATAAGATGATAGGTTTATCAAGTTAGGGCCAAAGAGGATTCACTTTACGCCTACCTTAAAGATATACATTATACCGAGATTTAATAATGCGGAGGATGATGCTCTCTTGGATAAAGCCTGTCTGAAGATTATATTTAGAGGGGAATGTATTATATTAAGTTTTTGTTTATGAGACAGATTATAATAAAAATTCCACATTTATTTCTAATGATAATCCAGTTAAGAACTTTTTTTGATGACGTGTGTATCATGACATAAAAAGTAATGTAGAAGTTACCATAGAATAAATTGGTGTATGTACAAATATTGATATTAGACTAGGTAGTTTTATTGCAAAAAGTTCTTCTCTTTCCCAGTACCAAATCTTTATGTGCAAAATTAGAATAAACAATTCATAAAATTCCGAAAAAATTATGTTTTCACTTTGGTAAACGTGTAATGAATGAATGAAATATATGTGGGTATATGCTCAAAAGTTTAACACACATAACAGTGACAAAATTCCTTTTAAAATCTCATTTTGGAAGCATCATCGTCCCATATATAAATGAAAGAATGAACGAAACTAAATCATAACGGAAAACAGACTACGCATACTTTCCGTACATTTATAAGCCATATTTTAGACATTGAATTTGTATACTTCGTTTAGGTTGAGTGTCGTAGAAGATTTTCTGGGGATCGATTTGATTTGTAGTTTTCAAATAATTTTACTCCGGTTCGCTTGCTTGAGTTGGTTTGTATATAGCGAGAAGCGGAACTACCCATTCCCGAGGGAGTAGTTGCGAGTTGCTTTTAAATGTG